GTGTAGCGTCACCCTGCGCTCCTGAGTGAAGGCTGGTGTGTGATGCTGTAGTGTCACAAGTGAAGGCTGGTGTGCGACGGAGTAGCGTCACCCTGCGCTCCTGAGTGAAGGCTGGTGTGCGACGGTGTAGCGTCACCCTGCGCTCATGGGTAAAGGCTGGTGTGATGCTGTAGTGTCACGAGTGAAGGCTGGTGTGCGACGGTGTAGCGTCACCCTGCGCTCATGGGTGAAGGCTGGTGTGCGACGGTGTAGCATCACCCTGCGCTCCTGAGTGAAGGCTGGTGTGTGATGCTGTAGTGTCACGAGTGAAGGCTGGTGTGCGACGGAGTAGCGTCACCCTGCGCTCCTGAGTGAAGGCTGGTGTGCGACGGTGTAGCGTCACCCTGCGCTCATGGGTAAAGGCTGGTGTGATGCTGTAGTGTCACGAGTGAAGGCTGGTGTGCGACGGTGTAGCGTCACCCTGCGCTCCTGAGTGAAGGCTGGTGTGATGCTGTAGTGTCACAAGTGAAGGCTGGTGTGCAATGGTGTAGTGTTACCTTGGGGATTCATTTGAGTTGGATGACAAGTTACAGAACCAACACAAACTAGCTTTCTGTAAGGATGGGGGCGTCAGGAGCCCATGCTGACCTGGCTCAGCCACCTGACCTGGCTCCTGCTCAGCCCTGATCTGCACCCACTGGGTCAGCATGTGTGCTGGGTGGTGGCCTGAAGCCCCCCCCACCAGCTTTCTCCAGCCTGTGCCTAGCAGCCCTGACAGGATCCTAAATCAGGTGGGCAGGGGGCACTTCCAGGAAGTCCTAGATGGCAGACGTGGGTCCGACATCCTCTGCCCATGCTTTGCCTCCGCCCCTCGGGCCACTTATTTCCCAAGGTTCTGGTCTTGAATGGGAGAACCAGGGGCACCAAGCATAATTTGATTCTGCCACAGCCTCTGATGAGTGCACTTTGTCCAGACGGCGTTGCGTGGTTGTGGCTATGGGACCGTGCCCTGCCAGCACTGGAGGTGTCCTTCGTGGCTCCCGGCTGGTGCCCTTGCTACCCCACTGCTACGGTCTTCTCCAGGGAAAGCGCCATCTTTCTCACCACGTGGTGGTATCCAAGGGTGCCCACGTTAAGGAGTTTCCAGCTACCCCAGCCTCCTCAAGAACAGGCAGCCGGGTCCTACAGGTCCAGCCCCAGCTCAGGTGGAGCCTGCACCACAGTAAGCAGCTTTCCCCTTAACTGGTTCTGCAGGCGGGTGGATCACCTGAGGTCAGGAGTTTGAGACCAGCCTGGCCAACATGGTGAAATCACGTCTCTACTAAAAATGCAAAAATTAGCTGCGTGTGGTGGTGTGCGCCTGTAGTCCCAGCTACTCAGGAGGCTGAGGTAGGAGAATTGCTTGAACCCAGCAGACAGAGGTTGCAGTGAGCTGAGATTGCGCCACTGCACTCCAGCCTGGGCAACAAATCAAGACTCCATCGCAAAAAAAAAACCCAAAAAACAAAAAAATGTTAAATGCTTCAACAACTGTTTGATTCATTTAACATTTCTGAGCAGCAGAGCTGCAGTCCTAGGCACCAGGGCAGTAGTGCAATGGTGACAATCTGGGGGTTACCCCAGAACCCCTCAGGTGTGGGCTGCTCCTCCCTTGCCTGACACGAGGCCCCCACCTGTCCGTCTGCCGAAGTCTGGGAGAGCTGAGGTAGAAATGTGTTGTTGGGTTTGTTTTTAAAGTAATTCTGTTTGCATTCCAGAAAATATTTTCAGAACCTGGAAGCTTATCCATGGCCACTGTCGCCAAACTCCGCGAGAGCTGCAGGGCCCGCCTGCTGGCACAGGGGTGAGAGCGCCCAGCCCTGGGATCCCCATCTCCAGGCTGACGATTCCCCTTTGCAGAGTTGACACTGGACCGTCACTGCCTTCCTTCTTACCGTTGTAAATACTTGACGTCACTACACTTCAGTTGTGAATTTTTTAAAAAAGTTTAAAATCAGGTCATTCTACTGCTTTTGATGATTCGCTACGAAGTCACACTTTTCTAAAGAAAACTTATTTTTACCGGAAGACATCAATAATTTATAAAATGTGAGATGTGGGTTATCTAATAAAGTATGCCACCACCTGTGAGTCTGTGATCAGTTTCTCAGCCCTCTGGAAACTGGAGCAGTGGGCGATCACTGTGGCCTTCACGGAGGCAGCGTAAAGGAACACTTCACTTTATGTGAGGCTCCTGCGTGTAGAAGGTGATTTCTCTTTAGAGAGGTAACTTAAGTTCTGGGGTACACATCGCCCCGTCACCCAGGTATTAAGCCCAGCATCCCTCAGCTCTTCCTCCTGGTGCGCTCCCTTCCCCACCCTCCCCAACAGCCCCGGTGTGTGGTGTCCCCCTTGTGTCCAGGTGTTCTCAGCATTCAGCTCCCACTTACAAGTGAGAACACGCGGTGTCTGGTTTTCTGCTCCTGCGTTAGTCCGCTGAGGATAAAGCCTCCAGCTCCATGCATGTCCTGCAGAGGACGTGATCTCATTCCTTTCATGGCTGCAGACCATTCCATGGTATCTATGTATGAAAGGGAATTTTTTAAATCATTGAAAAATTATCACGTGACACGAATGAACCAGACAAGCGTACCGGATGTAGGGAACGGGGCTGGAGTGGCCCAAGTGCCTTGGCACACTGGGCCCCAGCCGGAAGGGGGCCCTACTCCGGGCCCTGAGCCTCCCTTCCCACCCCTGTCCTGTCCCGACAAGCTGTGCTGCCTCCTGGCCATGCTGACAACCCTGCCTGCCGCCTTGGGGGCTGAATTTCTGAGGCCAGGCTGAGCCCTGGGTGGGATGACAGGGAGGCACAGATGGCGTGAGGGTGGGGGTCAGACAGGCTGGCTGCCACTGCTGTCCCGAGCTGGCCAGTACCCTCAGCAGCTACTTGTTAACTCCCCTTGGCATCTCCAGGTCTGTGCCCCTCTACAGCAGACCCTGTCCCTCCTCCTCCTCCCACCCCTCCTCCTCCTCCCCCCTCCTTCCTCCTCCTCCTGCCTTCACTAGAGGCAGCACAGCCATAGCAGCTGTCCTGAGAGGACGTGGCCTCCCCATGCCCAAGGGACGATGCTCACCTCCCAGATGATCACGCTGCCATCTGGGCCCTGCCTCACCTTGAGCATGAGGCAGGCGCATGAGCCAGGAGGTACCCCTTGCCCTGGGGACCGGCCATTAACAAAGCTGGGGTCAAGCAGCTCCAAATGTCCCAATTCACAAGTCGCTACCATCAGGGCAGAGGCCACCCCGGCCATCAGTCACCACACCGCTCTGGGCCCTCCTCCTCCTCCTCCTCCTCCTTCCTCCTCCTTCCTCCTCCTCCTCCTCCCCTTCTCCTCCTCCTCCTCCCCCTCCCCCTCCCCTCCTCCTCCTCCCCTCCCCCTCCTCCACCAAACACTCAGGGCAGCCAAAGGTGGGGTTGCCAAGGTGCCACTGCATCACGCAATACAGACACGGTGCCCTGTGCCCCAGCCTCTGGCCGCAGTCCCAACACTCCAGCCCCAGCCAAGCACCCAGAGTCCCCTGCCAGGGACCATGCATGCTGTGGTCCAGGCTTGGCACCATCTGTGATGACACCCGCTTGTTGGGTTTGGCCCAGAACTCAGGAGTGACTGTGACTCCCCTGGAAGTGGAGCCAGCTGGTGCCTCCGAGGCAGGGCTACTGGTGTCACCGGCCCAGTGTCAGAGCCTTGCCGCCTGCTGTGGACATGCCACTGGCTCCGCTCCCATGCAGGCCCGGCTCTCACAGAGGGATCTCCCGGCTGGGTCTGGGCCCTCCACAGCCTTCCTTCCCCCTCCAGGCAGACACTGAATCCTCTCTTAGGACGCTACAACCCTAAAACATCTGCAAGGGGCTGACGGGGGCCTACTGGACCAGCAGCAGGAACCAGGAGCTTCCCATCACTCCCTGCACTGTTGTCTAAGAGTGCTCTGACCCACTGCTGTGGCCTTCACCGTGCTGGGCACCTGCTCCCACCTGGCCATTCCTGCTCCAAGGCATGGCTCAGCTGTTTGAAAGGCCTGCTAGAAGAGCACGAGGTGTGCTTACCCGGGGCCTTGCCCACTCTGAGTTCTTGGAGCCAGATTCTGGGATTCGAGATGCAGGTTGGAGCCCGAATTCTAGGGCCCCTGGTGTCTGTCCTCAGCCTCACGAAGGTCTACGGACCCTGACAGTGAGGTTTTGTTAGGCTCGAGCTCCTGCTCTGAAGGCTCTCAGCATAGCCACCTTCTTCCCCAGGACCCAGGAGAGAGCTCCCCATGTGGCCTGGGGGAGGGAGGCTGCCTTTTTAAAGGTGATCTGATCTCCAGAGCCTCAGGTCTGAACACAGCCACTTTCCATCTTAAACCGGGGAGCCCTGATGACCATGTCGGGGCCTGCACTGATCCTCGGCAGACGTGAAGGATGCTGTTCTCACCCATTCCCGCCCCGTCCTCACCTCCCCCACTTTTACTGTGACCGCTTTCTTCTAGACACGGGAGGGTGTTCCCCAAGAGAGAACACAGCAACATGGCCACGTTGTTCAAAATGAAAGACGGATCCTGAGACATCTTAACTACCGTCCGTAAGAATGGCTACGTCAGCTCCCAACGCCAGGCTATGCCTCACCCCCGTTTCCCCGACGTCCTCTCCCTACACCGAGACCGGCCTTGCCCCCATTTCCCTGACGTCCTCTCCCTGCACCAAGACCGGCCTCGCCCCCATTTCCCCTACGTCCTCTCCCTGCACCGAGACCGGCCTCACCCCCATTTCCCCTACGTCCTCTCACTGCACCGAGACCGGCCTCGCCCCCGTTTCCCCGACGCCCTCTCACTGCACCAAGACCGGCCTCGCCCCCATTTCCCTGAAGTCCTCTCCCTGCACCGAGACCGGCCTCACCCCCATTTCCCCGACGTCCTCTCACTGCACCGAGACAGGCCTCACCCCCGTTTCCCTGACATCCTTCTCTCATGAGCTCCCATTTTAGCTGACAAAAGGACAAGGCCCAGACAAAAAAGAAAGAGGCTTTTTATTACATTGTTACAGGCAATGCGTTACGTGAGCCAATGCTGTGTACAACCCCCAAGCCGCGGCGACACACCAGGAGCGCATCTAACATTGTACACAGCGCAGAACAGGATCACCCCGAATGTCAACAGAAGACCGAAATCACTTTACAAAAAACATAAAAATAACACCCATTTTTATAGTTAAAAAAGTGCCAGCCCTTGAGCCGCAGAGCATCAGAAACGCCCAAGGATGTGCCGCCGAGTGCCGCCCGTAGAATGGGGACAGGGCGCCAGCCGCGTGTGGCCTTTAAAGCTGAACTGGAGCACTTGAGACGCTCATCTCTGGAGTCTGTCTCAGGACTTTCCCTCTCTACTGTTGAAACTGTGAGTGACCTTCATGCGTCCCACCCGTGACGGCCGGAGGCTTTCCCTTTGTAAGGCTTCAATCTGAGTGCAGTAAAGAACCAAGAAACCAAACACCAGAATCTTAAAGTCAAACGAGAGCTGAGCCAGTGCCAATTTAGAGCAGCGCTCCCACCCTTCCTTAGAGTTCTACTTTGGTAAATATTAATGTTTAACCAGTTAGCAAAATATTTAACCCAGTTAGCAAAATTAACACCGTCATTTCAATAGTTACTCTGTTGTGCATAGTGAATGCTGCAAGATGAACTTCACGTTGAATGAAGCAGATTTGAGAAACGTTGCCAGAAAGTGTGCCTCCCTCAACAGGACCCTATGCCAGGGAAAGGACTGAGGCCCGCAGCCGCTGTGCCTGCACCGGGCTAGATCGTCTGGTAGCCGGCGTGACTCCTCTTCCTTCCAACGAGGTAGGCGATGAGGACGATGAGGACCAGCCCCGCCAAGGCGCCGCCCACAGCGATGGGGATCAGCATGTTGTTCTCGTCCAGCAGACACTCCTCCACTGCCAAGACACACGGACAGTGTCAGCTTCCACTCACACAGGGGCCTGCTAACAGGCCTCTCTCCCCGCCACTCCCCCACGTCAGCCACAAGCCAAGAGGAACTCTGGCAGACGGCTCCAGGTCCGGCTGTCGCTTGGGGGAGCCGCTGCAGAGACTGGCGCGCTCTGCACAGCTGGGAAACCACACATGTTTTCCCCCGGCTGGAATCAGGGGCTGTGGCTGGGCAGCTGTGCTGTGTCCAGAGCCTCCGGGCTTCCTGGAACACAGAGCACATCGGATGATGGTTTTGCATTCAACTTTCATGGGAGAAACGCCACCACTGTTCTTAAAATGACACCCTTACTCTCAAATGGTACCAGGGGTTCCCAGCTCAGAGATACGCTGGGCCTCTCTAAAGCAGGGGGAGTTTCCTCTAGAATCTCAGACCGGGAAGAAGAAACGGCTTGCATAGGAACAAGGGTGTTGCCCCAGGCCACACAGAAGCGATTAAATATCCACAGGTGGAGTCTGAAGTGCGTCCTCTACACCCCGGGACAGCTGCCCTCGGCGACACTCACCAGAGCCAAACTGGTCACCGTCCACCTTGAAAGCCTGGACCCAGACTTTGAATATGTTGACGGAAAGCGCCTTGGTGACGCGGACGCGCTCCTCGGCGTTGCACCTGTAGGAGTTGCCAACGGTGGCCTGCAGCGCTCTCAGGGAGTTGTTGGAGGCTTTAAATGTGGGGTCTGCAACACACACACAAGTCAAGTAACTCCGGGGCACTCTGGGTGGGGAGCAGGGGCTCCAGAGATTGTGGGTTCTCACCTCTGGCGTCAGGAAGAGTTGTATTCAACTGGATTCCTTGTAGGAAAAAACGGCTAGAACTTGCATTCTTAAAAAGAAAGATGATCTTTAACCACTGAGTAGACTCGAACATCTATCATTAAACTTGAAAGGTCATTTGGTAAAAAATTTGACTTCCCATGTTTCTAGTTTTTGAACAAAACTACAGAATATCCTGTCTATAAAAGGCCAGTGAATTCCAGTTAGTTCCTTCCACGCCCTTTTCTGAGAGTCTTGCTCTGTCGCCCAGGCTGGAGTACAACGGTGTGATCATGGCTCACTGCAACCTCAACTCCTGGGCTCAAGCGATCGTTTTATCACTTGTGGAGACAGAGCCTCCCTGTGCGGCCAGGCTGGTCCTTCCAGACCTCTTCATAGAGTTAGAGTCTCTGAGAAGCGGGGCCTGCAGGAGCTCTTACGGCACAGGAAAGCATGATTTGGAAAGTTCAAATGGTAGGAAACTGAACTGCTAATTCATCTGCACAGCGACTTAAAAAGATTGACAAGTGACATTTATATTCTTCCTAACTGTGTTGCTCACTGCACAGGAGTGCTCCAGGCAGAAAGGCCACCCCGTGGCTGTAGGGCAGCAGCGTCTGAGGCCAGAAGGCCTCGTGGCCTCACAGCAGCAGCCTTACCCCTGCAGCCACCCCACTGTGGGCACGGCAGCCCCGCCCAAATCGATTACTGAGTAACCAGGATTTTAAAAAGGCAGGAAAAAGTGAGGCTGCCTTGTTCCTAATTCTGCTACCCATGAGCAGACCCAGGGCACAAGGGACACCCGGCCTCACCATCCCAAACTGGAACAGCAGGACCGTGCCACCCTCATCGCGCAGCTCCAGGGTCACCAGGTGGGTGCCACAGCTCCCGGTGGCCAAGGTCTTGTTGGGGTTGATGTTGAGAAGTTTTGTCACCGTCTGTAAGACAACCAAGCAAGTCATCACCCCAGCCAGGTCCTCCAGATGCTCAAAAAAAGAAAAACAGTCCTGAAACCATGAATTCAAGGCCACATTTGTTTTAACCAAAACGAGAAGGAAGCACTGTAAGTCCACACTGGTACAGATTTCAGGATCCCAAGATGACTCCTGGCCACTGTGACAGCTGCTTTCAGAGTGTGGCGTCCCTGCGTGGATGGCACCAACCAGCACCACCTCCCCCTGCAGCCGTCAACCCTGCAAACTCGCCCCCACAAACCCATAGCCTGTCACTATTAGGGGAGAAAAACTATTTCAAAAGAAAAGTATAAATATGTAACACTTAAATGTCTCAATGATAAACATGTAAAGAAACCTTATCTTCTATCGGGGGCCACGTGAATGTTTTCAGGCTCCATGGGCCACACTGCTCCGCATGCCTGCTGGGACAGCAGCCTTGGACAATAGAACCAGCAGGACAACTGTGTGCCTACAAGATGGACTCACTGACACAGACACCCCAGCTCTTGTCCTAGAGGGTCCCATCCTGCAAGCTGAGCTCCCATCCCCACTTAAAGCATGACCTGCAGAGATGTGCACTCTCAGTACACAGGGAGCAGAGGTCCCGGCCCTACAGAGGCCTGCTGTTCCCCCTCAGGTGAGGCCCACCCTACAGCTCTGTCCCCCTCTCTCAGGTGAGGTCCCGGCCCTACAAAGGCCTGCTGTTCCCCCTCAGGTGAGGCCCACCCTACAGTGCTGTCCCCCTCTCTCAGGTGAGGTCCCGGCCCTACAGAGGCCTGCTGCTCCCCCTCAGGTGAGGCCCACCCTACAGCGCTGTCCCCTTCTCTCAGGTGAGGCCCCGGCCCTACCGTGTTGTCCTTCCTCTCGTAGGTGAGGTTCAGCTGCAGCCCCATGCTGGCCAGTAGGCAGGTCCCGTTGGTGCCGTTCACACTGTACTTGTTCACAGAGGGGCTCTCCGGCATGGGTGAGGGCGAGGGGCTGGGTGGTGCGGGCGGCGCTGTGGTCGGGGAAGGCCCGTCTTGTTCACAGCGCGTCTCTGCAGGAACAGTGGAGGGAATCCAGGTCTGGGTTTCTCATCATCAGCAGTTACAGTAAGATCCAAACTCAGAAACCAAACTGACAAGGTGGCTCTCACTAATGCCTTTCTAGACGTACAGGACAGAGCTGAGTCCTGCAGACAGCAGATGGCTCAGGCTTGCAGGGCACCCTCAGCCTCCAGCTCCCACTACCCAGAATGCCCCATGGCTGGACAGTGTCCACTGTGCCACCCTCTTCCTAAAGTGAGGGTGAGAGGGCCTTGAACGCTGTCACAAAGGAGTGAACATAGGAGGCTGTGCTGTGTGGCTGGCCACGCCACCTCACCCCTCCCCACCCCATGGGAAATGGTGATAACTCAGTCACTGCTCCCTGAACTATCAAATGGGTGCCAGTATTGTGCTGGAAACACCACCCAGAAGAAAAGAGGGTCCACGGCGCACACAGCCCGGCCAGGTGGGACGCAGAGCAGCCAAGGAGGCCCTCTGGCAGGACAGGGGTCAGGTGGCTCTGTGAGGACCCCATGTGTGAGCAGAGACGCAAAGGTGGGCAAGGCTAGCCAGCTGCCTTGGGTTTTCATCTGGGGAGGGGGCAGTGGTGGGGATGGACAAGCATCCTCACTAGGGAGAAAGCAGCAAGTGTGGGTGCATCCTGGACAGGAGGGCGCAGTCCAGGGAGTCTGTGGAGAGGGGCCATGTGGCACCCCAAGGAGACTGAGACGTCCAGGGAGTCTGTGGAGAGGGGCCACGTAGTACCCCGAGGACACTGAGTGGTTCAGGGAGTCTGTGGAGAGGATCCACGTGGCACCCCAAGGACAGTGAGTGGTCCAGGGAGTCTGTGGAGAGGATCCATGTGGCACCCCGAGGACAGTGAGTGGTCCAGGGAGTCTGTGGAGAGGATCCATGTGGCACCCCGAGGACAGTGAGTGGTCCAGGGAGTCTGGAGAGGATCCATGTGGCACCCCGAGGACAGTGAGTGATCCAGGGAGTCTGTGGAGAGGGGCCACGTGGCACCCCGAGGACACTGAGCAGTCTGAATGTGACTGTCCCTCAGCATCTAACCCACCAAGATGTTCACAACACACATTTATATTGAAAGTCAAGGCAGACTGAACTCGAGGTAGAGCTCTGCCGACTCTTCTGTGGCTGATACTCACAGCCACACACCATCAACCTTGAAATTAGGTTCTTTCTTTTACCACCTTGTTTCTGTGAGCACTCAAAAACAGGATTTATATAATTTCTACCCAATTCGATCTTTTCCACATCTCCACTAGGCTGAGTCGGCACAAGTGAGCCCCAAATATCCAGGTGGGCAACCCTGTGGGGGATCTGCCGCCTGTGACTCCATCGGCCACTTGTTGGTTCTGCTTCCATCTCAACTTTCAGCGACCAATTCCCAGCTTCACATCCCCTCTGCCTGGGGGAGGGGAGAGCCAGGACCCTTCGCCTACAACTGTACCCCAAGTGGTTCTGAGACACACAACTCAGGAGTCCCCCACGCCCCGGTGTAAAAGCCCTTTCTGGACAGAGCAGAAGATGGCAGAGAGGAGCTACGGTAACCACACCAAGCTCTGAAGTGACAGGCACCACGGCCACCGGGAGCCGTCCCAACCCAGGATGTGCTCACAGACCTCGCTCACTCCTTTCCAAAACAGCCTCAGCTGCCAGGCACAGTGGCTCATGCCTACAATCCCAGCGCTTTCAGAGGCCAAGGAGGAAGGACTGCCTGAGCCCAGGAGTTCAAGACCAGACCCCATCTCCACAAATTTTTTTGTTTTTAAATTAGCCAGGGCCAGGCGCAGGGGCTCACGCCTGTAATCTCAGCACTTTGAGAGGTCGAGGCAGGTGGATCATGAGGTCAGAAGTTCAAGACCAGCCTGGCCAAGATGGTGAAACCCCATCTCTACTAAAAATACAAAAATTAGCCAGGCACAGTGGCAGGTGCCTGTAATCCCAGCTACTCAGGAGGCTGAGGCAGGAGAATCACTTGAACCCAGTGTGGGTGGGGTGGAGGTTGTTGTGAGCCAAGATCACATCATTGCATTCCAGCCTAGGCAACAGAGTGAAACTGTTTCAAATAAAAATAAAAATAAAAAATTAGCCAGGCATGGTGGCATGTGCCTGTAGTCCCAGCGATTCAGAAGGCTAACTTGGGACGGTCACTTGAGCCTGGGAAGCTGAGGCTGCAGTGAGCTTGACTGTGCCACAGCCTGGGAGACAGAGCAAAGACCCTGCCTCAAAACCAAAAAAAGCAGCTTCACTGCTCCTTTATAAAATGTTACAGAACACAGCTAAACAGGCAAAAGTTAATGTGCAAAACCGGCCAGTCTAGATGGCCACACAACGCAGGAAAAAAGCATCACCTACGCTGCTCTGACAATGTTTAACGTGTGATCCACATTCGTTTATCACCTTGTTTCTGTAAAGTGGTCACAAGAAGTCAGGCTGGAAACACCATGCCTAATCACCAGTTTAGAAAGTCAGAACTTGAGGAATAAGTGTGGAAAATGTCCTCTTCCTTCTACCCGAATTACAAATGCAAACCCACATTCTCCTTCCTTGATCACATACAAAACACCAAGGTCCATCCAGCAGAGGACACGGAGGGAGAGATCATCACAGAACACACTGCCCGGGGAGAGATGGTGGTGCAGGAGCCTCTGGGGAGCCCTGAGAATCAGGAGGCCAGGGGCACACCTCCCCCACCCCCTCCGGAGAGCAGCGGGCAGCAGGGTCCTCCCAGACTCTGCTGTCTTTCCAAAGCCCACGTGCTCTGAAGGCCTCTCCTCATCTCCGGGCAGCAGCAGACACTCACACCCACCTGCATGCTGCAATTCAGGGCCTCAAGGGTGTATGTGAGATTAGAATGATTTCACCCACACCCTCTGTTACAGTCTTCAGTTATAATGCTGGGTGTGTCAGGCCTCGGGGCAGGCCTGACTGCCTCCCGCCCCTTTCACCTGTCCTAAGGCAGGACTCTCATCTTCCCCGCCTTTCTGATAGGTTTTTTTTTTTGAGATGGAGTCTCCCTCTGCCGCCCAGGCTGGAGTGCAGGGGCGCCATCTCTGCTCACTGCAACCTCCACCTCCCAGGTTCAAGTGATACTCCTGTCTCAGCCTCCAGAGTAGCTGGGGCTACAGGTGTGCACCACCACGCCTGGCTAATTTTTGCATTCTTAGTAGAGACGGGGTTTTGCCATGTTGGCCAGGTTGGACTCCAACTCCTAGGCTCAAGTGATCCACCCACCTCAGTCTCCCAAACTGCTGGGATTACAGGTTTGAGTACCTGGTGAGGCCTGACTATAGGCCTTAAGACCCGCAGATAGGGTCCTGCCCTACCCACTAGGAGAAGAAACGCTGAGGTCATGAAGCTCCCACAGAAGCCCAAGAGGACTGGGTTTGGGAAGATCAAAATCCGCTTACCCCAGGGAGGTTCCTGGAGGGTGGCGCCCTGGAACGAGAAGGCATGGAAGCGCAGTGTCCGTGTCCCTCCCCATACCTCGGCCCCCGTGTCTCTTCCTCTGTGTCCTTTCCACTATCATTTATAATAAACCCATAAATGTTTCCCTGAGTTCTGTGAGCCACTGCAGCAAATTAATCAAACCCAAGAGGGGGTCACGAGAGCCCCAACTTGAAGCTGGTGGGTCAGAAGTTCCGGAGGCCCAGATTTCCGACTGGACTGGGGGTGGGGGGGAAGGCACTCTTGGGGAGGGAGCCCTCTTCCTGTGGGACCTGACCTTTCTCCGGGCAGATAGGTTAGAACTGAATCAGAGGACACCCAGCTGGTGTCCACTGCTTGGTGTGTGGGGAAAAGCTTGACCACATGTGGTCACAGAGGCCGTCTGTGTTGATGATGGCTGCTGGAAAGAGGCAGTTAGAGAGCTTTCCCTACACAAAAGGGTGAGATGTTTCACCATGGCTTCCCTCCATTTAAGCTGGGATTACAGGCATAAGCCACCCCACCCCCGGCCACATCAGCCCTACTTTTAAGATCCTCGGGAGAGAAGGTACAAAGTCCATTCAAAGATGGCTTGTGCTTTATTTCCTCTAAAAGTACAATCTGTGAGGTCCCCAAGCTTTCTTAGACAAGACGACGTGATGAACTGAAAGGCACGATGAATGAGGCCTTCTGGTCACAGAAAGTAAGTATTTTAGACTTTGTGGGCTGTGGCTCTCTGTGAAGACAACACAGCCCTGTCACTGCTCATGCACACGCAGCCACAGATACTGTGTAAATAAATGACTGTGGCTGGGCTCCGAGAGAACTTCATTTATAGACACTGAATTTTACACCATTTTCATGTGTCAAGAAATACTCTTTCAGATTTTTGGTATGTTAAGTTTATAAACATAAAACCCATTCTTAGCTCATGGGCCCTATGGAAACCGGAGGTGGGCAGGACCAACCCAGGACAGTGAGGGGCCGACCTGCAGGGGTCCTGGCTCTTCTGGGAGGGGTATGACAGGACGATACCCCCCCCCCCGCCCCAGCCCCCGACCCCAGCCCGGAGCCCAGCAGTCACTCCTCGGCCTCAAGCGAGAATGCTGAGGAATGCTGCAAACCAAAGGTCCCAAGATGAGAGAAGGCTGTCATGTCTCCATACATACTCCTACCAGCCAGGAGCCACCCTAAGGCAAAGTACAGGCACTCAAGTTTCAGCTAAATGACAATGACCTATGACCTATGACCTTCCTGGACTGCGGCTCGGGAGAGAAGCTCAACAGTAACAGGATTTACCAGGTGTTTGCCACTTGCTCTGTGCCAGATGCTGAGATACACACTCTGCATACATTTCCCTTTTAATTCTATCAACCTTCTAAGAAAGGCTTTTAATCTCATCCCACATGCAAAGAAACTGAGAAGTTAACTACCCTGCCCAAGATCTTGGGGCTAGGTGGCCTGGACCCTGCCTGACCCCAGAGCCCGGCGGCTGGATTAGCAGGTGCATCACTGCAGCCCTGACCTCCTCAGAGAGGCAGTGCTGGTCTTTCTGCACGTGTCCCTGAGCTGGCCGGCCAGAGCTGGATGGAGAGTAACACCAGGTTTCTGTGCGAAGGCAACTGGCTCAAACTGAGAGATCTGTGACCCTGACCCCATCATCTCTGGCCCAGTGAAGGCACAAAGGTTTCAACTGCTTTGCCCTTCTAACATTTTCAAGTCATAATTGTACGTATTTACCATGTGCGTCATGTTTTGAAATACATCTACCTGTGTGACAGCTAAAATCAAATACTTATCTTTTTATGGTGAGAAAAATCAAGATCTACTTAGCAATATTTAAGCCACAATATAGTATCACCTGCAGTCAAATGCTATACAAGAGATCTCTCCAACTTATTCCTCCGGTCTTCCTGAAACTACTTTTTTTTTTTCCCTGAGACAGAGTCTTACTCTGTCTCCCAGGCTGGAGTGCAGTGGTATGATCTCGGCTCATTGCTACCTCCACCTTCCGGGTCAAGCAATTCTCCTGCCTCAGCGTCTCAGTAGCTGGGATTACGGGCGCCCGCCACTTTGCCCGGCTAATTTTTGTATTTTTAGTAGAGACAGGGTTTCACCATCTTAGCCAGGCTCGTCTTGAACACCTGACCTCATGATCCACCAACCTCAGCCTCCCAAAGTGCTGGGATTACAGGCATGAGCCACCGAACCTGGTCTTCCTGAAACTTTCTATCTTTTGACCAACTTTACCCCTAACCCTTAGTGACCACCATTCTACCTCCCCGAGTACCACTTCTTTAGCTCCCACAGGAGTGAGACCACACAATAGCTTGTATCTGTCCTGGCACATTTCACCCCAATCTTCTACCCTTTTTAACTGACCTGTGTCTACCCTCATTTACAGGTCACCCTCCGTAGGAAGAAGTCTGAGAACATTCTGCAGAGATGTGTCCCTGGCTGTGCACACGCCCAGTGCCAGGACACAGAGAAGTGAGGTCACCCACAGTCACTGCAGCCCAACCACCCCATCGTTAGCACCAGAGGGTCAAGGGTCAGAGCCCAGTGCCAGGACACAGAGAAGTGAGGTCACCCACAGTCACTGCAGCCCAACCACCCCATCGTTAGCACCAGAGGGTCAAGGGTCAGCGTCCTACCTCCCCTGCTGAAACTGCTGTTGGAAAGGTACGCCTGGATGGTGGCATCTCGGAGCGTGACGGTCACGTTGCTCATGTGGACCTGGGTGCCACTAACACATCTGTATTTTTTATCTATATCTGCCCTGATGTCCGTTATAGATTCCACAGTCTTGGTTTCTAGATTAAAAAAAAAAAAAAAAAAAAAAATCACAATTACAAACACCTGGCTAATTACAATTGCAAAGTATTTGTAGTGCTTAGTTTATTTTATGTATTTTATATTTTTTATTTTATAATTATTTTTTAAGACGGATTCTTGCTCTATCACCCAGGCTGGAGTTTAGTGGCACAATCTCAGCTCACTGCAACCTCCAACTCCCGGGTTCATGTGATTCTCCTGCCTCAGCTTCCTGAGTAGCTGGGATTACAGATGCATGCCATCATGCCCAGCTAATTTTTGTATTTTTAGTAGAGAAGGGGTTTTACCGTGTTGGTCACACTGGTCTCAAACTCCTGAGCTTGTGATCTGCCTGCCTCCCAAAGTGCTTGGATTACAGGCATGAGCCACTACACCCGGCTGTGTGATTTTTGGTTTTTAGAGACAGTCTCACTCTGTCACCAAGGCTGGAGTGCAGTGGCACGAGCTTGGCTCATTGCAACCTCCGCCTCCTGGGTTCAAGCGATTCTCCTGCCTCAGCCTCCCAAGTAGCGCGCCACCACGCCTGGCTAATTTTTATATTTTTAGTAGAGACAGAGTTTCACAAAGTTGGCCAGGCTGGTCTCAAACTCCTGGCCTCAAGTGATCCATCTGCCTCAGCCTCCCAAAGGGCTAGGATTACAGGCATGAGCCACCATGCCCAGCCTGTAATACTTAGTTAAACATAACTTTAGACAGTCCTCCAACCCAATTTTCTATCGATTCACAATCAGTGCATTGTGGTTCTTACCATTGGAGCTTGCATTGGGGAAAAGGTGCGTGTCTGACAAGTTATAAACAAAACTCATCAGCTGGACACTGTAACGTGTTGCATTTCTCGTGAACTTGAGGGTTAGCATATGTTCTTTTCCAAAACCAATCACGAGACTGGGGTCAGAAGTGTTCTCTTTTCCACAGGAGCTACTGTTGAGCATTTCTGCATCTGAAGGCAGGTCAAAGGTCACATTCTAGAATAAACACAATTAAATATAACCCAATTGGGTTCAGGTTATTAAAAGTTCAAAGAAAGATTTTCTGTAAGTCTGATATAAACTTATACTCTATTTCTACCTGAGGTATCACTACTGATATATTCATTTTTAATATAAACAAAAAAACAAAAAACATCAGTATTACAAGTCAGTAAACAGACTAAAAAGTATTTCAAGTCTAAGAGAAAGTTGGCTTATTCATACAATCAAAAATTCGTAGCTGGGTGTGGTGGCTCAGACCTCTAATTCCAGCACTCTGGGAGGCTGAGGTGGGAGGATTGCTTGCGCCCAGGAGATCAAGACCAGCCTGGGCAACATGGCAATACCCCAGCTCTACAAAGACAAAAGAAATGACAGACATGGTGGTGTCCGCGTGCAATCCCAGCTACTCAGGAGGCTAAGGCAGGGGGATTGCTTGAGCCTAGGTCTGAGGCTGCAGTGAACTACGACTGCTCACTGCACTCCAGCCTGGGCAACAGAGCAACAAAACAACCCTACAGACTCAATTCCTATTAATATAATTTCTAACAGCATTTAAAGTGTCTTGAAACTGAAACAATTCATCGCAGTTTCAGGGTAAGATAAATATTTGAGAAAAGCTATCACTACTTTTTTGGCTATTGAAATGTTCATTTAAATAATGTTTCTTTAAACAAAGAAGGTGTTTATTGCAGAAGTGTTTGAATTCTGTTGGTAAGCAAAACCAACAACTGGAAAACCTCCTATGTTCATCAAAATAAACTGGACAGGTCAAATGAACGACAGCGAAGCAGTACACTGTGTGGTCCAAAAAAACGGCAAAAAAAGCTACACAAGGTGATAAGACACGTTTTTTGAGATGATAACGTGCTTAACAGTGTACAGGTGACCTCATTTGCGAAACAATTTATAACAAAATAGTTTAAATATTCAGTCGCCAAGACCAAATATTTAAAAAGTGATATAGAAATTAAATAAAAAGTGCTTGGAGGCCAGGTACGGCGGAGCACGCCTGTAATCCCAGTACCTTGGGAGGCCAAGGCAGGCAGATCACCTGAGGTTGGGAGTTGAGACCAGCCTGACCAATATGGAGTCTCTACTAAAAATACAAAGATTAGCTAGGTGTGGTGGTGCATGCCTGTAATCCCAGCTACTCGGGAGGCTGAGGCATGAGACTCCTCACTCAAACCTGGGAGGCGGAGGACACAGTGAGCCAAGATCTTGGCACTGTACTCCAGATGCCTGGTGGACAGAGTGCAACTCTGTCTCAGAAAAAAAGAAAAAAAGCTTTGACAAGTATTTATAATTTGAGACTTTTTTTTTTTTTTAAAGACTGTCTCACTCTGTCACCCAGGCTGGAGTGCAGTGGCAAGATCATAGCTCACTGCAGCCTTGACCTCGTGGGCTCAAGCAATCCTCCTGCCTCAGCCTCCCCAGTAGCTGGGACCACAGGCACACACCACCATGTCTGGCCTTTTTTCCCAAAGGAGAGATATGACCTCACTATATTGTCCAGGCTGGTCTGGAACTCCTGGGCTCAAGTGATCCTCTTAGCCTCCCAAAACTCCCAAAGTGCTGGGATTACAGGCATGAGCCATCACGCCCAGCCCTGAGACATTTTTATAGAACAAAACCTTCTCAGTTTTCAGTGTTTTGTTTGTTTTAAGATGAGTTTCACTCTTGTTGCCCAGGCTGGAATGCGATGGTCCAATCTTAGCTCACTGCAACCTCTGCCTCCCAGGTTCAACTGATTCTCCTACTTCAGCCTCCTGAGTAGCTGGGTTTATAAGCACCTGCCACCATGCCCGACTAATTTTTTTCTTTGTATTTTTAGTAGAGACAGGGTTTCACCATGTTGGCCCAACTAGTCTCAAACTCCTGACCTCAGGTGATCCACTTGCCTCGGCCTCCCAAATTGCTGGGATTACAGGCGTGAGCCAAGCCCGGCCTTTTTCTTCAGTTTCGACAGAGGCCACATTTACCTAGAGACCAGCACGAATGAATCAGTAAGGGCCCAGCAGCTGGCAGAAAGCCCCGCACACACTCAAGAACTGCAGTCCTCCCAGCAGTCCTGGGCCTGCCACGACCCTCTGAGTGGCAGTAGAGAGATTAGTGTCGATGTGGAGGTGTGAAAGGAAAAAGGGTCATTTCAACAAAGCACTGAAGATCAGATTTTGTTCAGGGATATATTCAAAAGAACCAACGTAAAATAGCCAGGCACAGCGGCTCACGCCTGTAATCCCTGCACTTTGGGAGGCTGAGGTGAGAGAATTGCTTATTCATGAGCTCAAAACCAGCCTGGGTAACATGGAGAAACTCTGTTCCTACAAAAAATATAAAAAATTAGCCAGGCATGGTGGCATGCACCTGAAGTCCCAACTACTTGGGGAGCTGAGGTGGGAGGATCACTTGAGCCCACGAGGTCAAGGCTGCAGTGAGCTGAGATCACGCCACTGCACCCCAACCTGGGCCACAGAGTGGGAAGCAGTCTCGAAAAAACAAAAACAAAAAAACAACATTACGAAGAGTATGTGAAATGTCTATAATAGATAATTAACAAGTACAATAAATGCATGCCACTCATTTGCTAGAAATCTAAATTACAAAAGGCTTTAGTAATCCCATAGAAACACAAAGCCATTTCAACAAAACTACTCAGGAACATTTTAATCAAACTAGTCCACTGTTTGTAGCACTGCATGTCAAATAACCATTTAGATACATTTCTTGGACTATAAGAATTTCTCTAAAATAAAGCAAAAAAGCCACATTCACAGAGCATGAGAAAGAATTCAAGGCTGGGTGCGGTGGCTCATGCCTGTAATCCTAGCACTTTGGGAGGTGGGCAGATCACAAGATCAAAAGATAGAGACCACCCCGGCCAACACTGTGAAACCCCATCTCTATGCTGTGGTGGCGCGTGCCTGTAGTCCTAGCTACTCAGGAGGCTGAGGCAGGAGAATTGCTTGAATCCAGGAGGCAGAGGCTGCAGTGAGCCAAGATTGTGCCACTGCACTCCAGCCTGGCGACAGAGCGAGACTCTGTCTCAAAAAAAAAAGGAAAAAGAATTCAAGACAATTTACCAACTACCAGTAGGAGAGTGTGTGCAACAAATTATGGTGAACTAACATAATAAAGTATTACATCGTGATTATAAAAGACAACCATGAAGAAGACTAGAGCCGGGCGTGGTGGCTCATGCCTGCAATGGCAACACTTTGGGAGGCCGAGGCACGTAGATCACTTGAGATCAGGAGTTTGAGACCAGCCTGGCCAACATGGCAAAACCCCATCTCTACTAAAAACACACAAACTGGCCGGGCATGGGCAGGGGGAACCTGTAGTCCCAGCTACTCAGGAGGCTGAGGCAGAAGAATTGCTTGAACCCAGGAGGTAGAGGGTGTGGTGGGCTCAGACATCACTGCACTCCAGCCTGGGCAACAGAGCAAGCCTCCGTCTCAAAAAAAAGAGAAAACCAGAAAAATGTTGGTAACGGTGAGATGCAGCACAAAGAAAGGCCTGTGACTGACTGTAGCCACGGCGCAGACAGCACAGGACACTGACCGTGCCAGAGGAAGCACGCAGGAGGGAAAGCACCAGGTTCAGATGGGGCCATTGTTCAGACCTGGTAGAGACGTTCAGAACCACCTTCCCACACATACCAGGGAAGCGTGAAGTGCCCTGGTGCTTCCTACCTTAGAGCCACTCCTGGAGTCGTAGTTCACTGAGAAGGCAGCAGAGAAGTTGGCCATTATGCAGGCAGTGCCGTTGCTATTCTTCACCACAAACACTGACGACGCACAATGCAGGAGGCCTGTCAATGCCGGGAAGAGACGGAGACCATCACAGACTTCAGAAAACACAACTGAGTACTCCCGTTTTCCACAGCTGTAGCAGCCTTTACTATAGGATTCCACTGTGCATTTTGTTGTTGTTGTTGTTCATTTTTGTTTTTGAGACGGAGTCTCGCTCTGTTGCCGAGGTTGGAGTGCAGTGTCATGATCTCAGCTCCCAGCAACCTCCTAACCTCCTCCTTCTGGGTTCAAGTGATTCTCCTGCCTCAGCCTCCCAAGTAGCTGGGATTACAAGCATGTGCCACCAAACCCAGCTGGTTTTTGTATTTTTAATAGAGATGGTGTTTTGCCATGTTGGCCAGGCTGCTCTTGAACTCCCGACTTCAGGTTATCCACCTGTCTCGGCCTCCCAAGGTGCTGGGATTACAGGTGAGAGCTCCCACGCCCAGCCCTGCATTTCTTAAATCCACTGAAGAACCAGACACATGGATCTGCAGCCAGTTCACCTGGTGCCCTGTCCCTTGCGGATACTATTCTGGAATTGTTTTCTCTAAACCCATCTGACGAGTTTGCCAACCTGGTCTATTGCTGTTTAGTGCTTTATTTCAGAACACTTATCAGGAAGGCACATGTCAATTTCTGGGTCATCCTAGGCACGCGTTGCTGCACATTTCTCAGAAGATCTCCGTAAGATGTGGTGGGCCTTGAAGGCACAACTCGCCCTTCTGTGGAAATCCATGGGAGTCTGTAGTAGCTTTCACTGTGGTCCTCAACTGCTACTTAACATGTGGTCAGTATTCTTTCTCACACACTGTGATATGGCAAGAAAAGCCAGGGACTCAGGCCAGGTGCAGCGGCTCATGCCTGTAATCCCAGCACTTTGGGAGGCCAAGGTGGGCGGATCACGAAGTCAGGAGTTCAAGACCAGCCTGACCAATATGGTGAAACCCTGTCTCTAATACAAAAAATTAGCCGGGCATGGTGGCACGCACCTGTAGTCCCAGCTTTTCAGGAGGCTGAGGCAGGAGAATCACTTGAACCCAGGAGGCAGAGGTTGCAGTAAGCCGAGGTCATGCCACTGCACTTCAGCCTAGGGGACAGAGCGAGACTGAGTCTTGGAAAAAGAAAAGAAAAGAAAAAGCCATGGACTTAAAGAGCTGAGCTCTGCCCAATTTCAGAAAGGTCCTCACAGTGCCGCACATCTGGTGGAGTGGCCTCCCTTCCCCATCCTGAAGCAAAAGGACAGAACTGAAGCTCTGTAAGTCTTTTTAGCTTCACAGTGGTCACTGCTAAGTACCTCTCTGGCTTATTCATACCCCACTTCCCTGATCAAGATGCTTGGCAACAAATATAATCTGATCACTACATAGAGACACTGCTAATTGTACAAATCACACATTACACAGTTCTTTCATTACAGACTGGCAAAAATAGGTGTTTTTGCTTGTTCTAAAGCCAAACACCTATCAGCCACCACAGTGAACCATGCAAAAATGACATGCTTTTACTTGTCTCTGCCATTACAAGCCATGCACGCCAGTCCAGTGAGCACTCAACACCCGGGGGCTCATCTTACACTTCATCGGCACAGCCTTCCAATGACACACACACCTGGGTCTCATTTGTCACTCTAAGGTGACATTGTGAGGGCCAATACTGAAAGAGAGGACACTCAGCTTTTCACTGAAAATCCTATTCCCTGGAGAAGTAATGGATTCCAACAAATCCAACTCACTTCAACCTCGGGCCTTTCACAAAATAAAATCTTTAGAGCAACTATTCTTCAAGCATAAAAGAAGGCATATTACCAGAAGTCCCACCTATCTTCCCTTGAGCTTCTGGTAAAGGAAATACCAAAATCTATGTCCACAAAGGAAAGGTGCTGCTGGGGCCCAGCACTTTGGGAGGCCAAGGCAGGTGGATCACAAGGTCAGGAGTTCAAGACCTCATGATCCACCTGCCTTGGCCTGGGAGCCTGCCCAACATGGTGAAGCCCTATCTCTACTGAAAATATAAAAATTATCTGGGCGTGGTGGCAGGCACCTGGAATCCCAGCTACTCAGGAGGCTGAGGCAGGAGAATTGACTGAACCCAGGAAGCGGAGGTTGCAGTGAGCCAAGACTGCGCCACTGCACTCCATCCTTAGTGACAAGAGCGAAACTCTGTCTCAAAAAAGGAAAAGAAAAGGTGCTACATGACAATAAAACAGAGCAGGGTGTGCAAGGAAACCTGCGATCGAACGTCCTGCTTTACTGCGTTTTTCAACCCACACCCTTCAACACTCAGGCAAGATCATACTAACAGCACTTCCAATGAATCTAGAGAATCCAGAATATTCTATCCCTTTTCCACATAGTAAACGTTTCTTAAAAAGAGAGAAAATATTCTCACTCCTGTGAGAGATCAGAATGAGTTTACAGAAGCGACAGCAGATGCCTGAAAGGCAGAAGCAGTGGACAGGCAGACCCAGCAGATACCAGAGAAAGCCTTACTATTGACTGGAACTTAGCGTGGACAGGGCCAATGCCCACCCTCGCCCTCAGCTGAGAAGCCATATGGCTCACAGCCACCACTGACAAGATGGACAGCCACATGGGAGCACCCACAAGCCAGCTTTTATTAAGCTGTCCAAAAATAAAAGTTTCCTCAAACACTTTTTACTGATCCAAAGCACTTCATTAGGAAATATTTCACACTGAGTCACTTTTCAACTACACAATTTTTTTTTTCATTTAGTAAATATGCTGAGGGTTTCAGCTTTTTTATTTTATTTTTTGGAGACTCACTCCTGCCCATGCTGAAGTGCAGTGGCCCCCCCACCTCCCGGGTTCAAGCGATTCTCATGCCTCAGCCTCCTGAGTAGCTGGGACTATAAGTTTGTACTGCCACGTCCAGCTACTTTTTGTATGTTTAGTAGAGATGGGGAGACAGGGTTTTGCCATGTTGGCCAGGCTGGTCTCCAACTCCTGGCCTCAAGTAATCCACCTGCCTCAGCCTTACAGAGTGCTGGGATTATAGGCATGAGCCACCACACCCGGCCAGGTCTCAGCTTTCAGAGGAAAATAAATATTATTAAAACAAATTTAAAATATGCTTTGGCAGCACAAGATGCCTGTATTACTCTGGAGAGGCCCAGAAATTTTGAGTCATTAAAATAAACTTACCCTCAGAAGACAATTTTGGTAAAGCAGAAAATAACAGCATTAGCACACAGAACTGTAAGAGAAATGTATGTATGCTAATGATCAGAAGTTTTTAAAAAAATTCCACAACAGTGGCATTGGTTAAGAAAAAAAGGTGAAAAAAAAACCCTTCTCAAATAAGTGACAATGTTTCCAGTAACCTAACAGGTGTCACAGCCAAACAGGACAGCCGCTGGCAGCACTGCCAAGCTGGGTACCCTAACCTCCTGGTGACTGCTATCTCTAGCAGTCCTGTACTCACACACAGGATCACTTCTCCAGGGATCACAGAAAGGAGTAACTGCGGCTTGTTCCTTCAAAATGCTCCCACTTGGAGGAATTCTATTCTCTGAAACCGGTGCCGCTGTGGGAAGCATGTGTGCTTCGGAGTCAGAGGCCTCAGTTCTGGGCAGCTCCTTCAGCACTGAGCAGGGCCAATCCCCAGTCTACATGCCCATGAGGAGGAGGATTCGCCAATGCCTCAGGCCCGTCGGAGCACCTGAGCACCTTGTGCCCGGCACTGACACCAGCTTTGATGTCTGCTATTATTAAACATCCACACAGATACACAGAGTTCCTATCAAGGTCATCATTCAATCCTCAGTAATTGACACAAAATATCGAAAATGATCTTATTTCACAAGCACCTGGAATGCACTCACTTTGTGCCAGGTGCTGCTCTAAGCACATCCCAATTATCAGACAACTCCAATAGGGAGACTAAGGCACAGAGAGGTCAACTACCCTGCCCAGGTCACGCAGCTAGTGAGGGTGCAGACCCCAATCTAGCAGGGCATCTTCTGACCCACAGCACCTGCCACTTCAGAAACACACTGCCTCTCCAGCACTTGAAGACTGAGGGAATAGGCTTCAAATCAGGAAACACTGGCTGGGTGCAGTGGCTCATGCCTGTAATCTCAGCACTTTGGGAGGCTGAAATGGAGGACTGCTTGAAGCTAGGAGTTCTAGACCAGGTTGGTAAACACAGCAAGACACTGTCTCTTAAAAAAATAAATTTTGGGGCTGGGCACGGTGGCTCACGCCTGTAATCCCAGCACTTTGGGAGGCTGAGGCAGGTGGATCACGAGGTCAAGAGATCGAGACCATCCTGGTCAACATGGTGAAACCCTGTCTCTACTAAAAACACAAAAAAAAAATTAGCTGGGCATGGTGGCGCGTGCCTGTAGTCCCAGCTACTGGGAGGCTGAGGCAGGAGAATTGTTTGAACTCAGGAAGCGGAGGTTGCGGTGAGCCGAGATCGCGCCATTGCACTCCAGCCTGGGTAACAAGAGCGAAACTCCATCTCAAAAAACAAACAAACAACAACTTTATTTTGGCTGTGCAGAGTGGGTCACACCTGTAATCCCAACACTTTGGGAGGCCAAGGCAGGCGGATCACCTGAGGTGAGGAGTTCAAGACCAGCCTGATCAACAGAGAGAAACCCCATGTCTACTAAAAATACAAAATTAGCTGGGTGTGGTGGCACATGCCAGTAATCCCAGCTGCTAAGGCAGGAAAACTGCATGAACCCAGGAGGTGAAGGTTGCGGTAAGCCGAGATTGTGCCACTGCACTCCAGCCTGGGCAATAAGAGCAAAACAAAACTCCATTTCTCTCTCTCTCTCTCTCTCACACACACACACACATAATTTTATTTTTAAAAATTTATTAAAAAACCACATCTTAGTTTATCTTGGCTTGATTCTTTTAAAAATGGCATTTTTATTCTACTTAACCAGTGATGAACATTTACAAAGAATTAAAGGGAAAAAAATACCAACCCAGGTACTGAGTCACAACCTCTAGAGGGTATAAATGTATATATTTCTTTATAATTTTTTTGTAGAGACACTGGTCTCGCTATGCTGCCCAGGCTGGTCTCAAGCAATCCTCCTGCTTTAGCCTCCCAAAGCACTGAGATTACAGGCATGAGCCATTGTGCCTGGCTGCGGTATGTATATTTCTAAAAAGCTGATCATCCTGGCCAATATGGTGAAACCCCATCCCTACTAAAAATATAAAAATCAGCTGGGCATGGTGGTGCGTGCCTGTAGTCCCAGCTACTCGGGAGGCTGAGGCAGAAGAATCACTCAAACCCAGGAGGTGGAGGCTGTGCATGTGTTTAAGAGACACTGCTACATAACTGATCCTTTCTCCATACATGTACTCATCACTTACTACGTGTCAGCTAAGGAAGGGAGATACACAGACTAATCCCAGTGCAGCTGAATGGATGCTGCCATGTAGAAGCACAGACAATAAAAGTCCTGGGGTACAGAGGAGAGAGGGGAACACTGTCCAGGATGGGTCTAATGTAATACAACTCAAAACCACAGGGCCACAAAGACATTCTGATCTCCAATCTACTGATGAATTCATTCTTTCCACTGCATAACTGACAATCTCCACAATCAAAGGTAACATTAGTTAGTGGAAAATTTTTTTTTTGAGACAGAGTTTCACTCTTGTCGCCCAGGCTGAAATGCAATGGTCTGATCATGGCTCACTGCAACCTCCACCTCCCAGGTTCAAGCAATTCTCCTGCATCAGCCTCCTGAGTAGCTTGGCTTACAGGTGCCTGCCACCACACCTAGCTAATTTCTGTATTTTTTTTAGCAGAGATGGGGTTTCACCATATTGGCCAGGCTGGTCTCAAACTCCTGACCTCAGGCGAGCCACCCACCTTGGCCTCCCAAAGTGCTGGGATTACAGGCGTGAGCCACTGTGCCCGGCCAAGTATGAAATTTTTCAAACCTCCTAAGTGACAGCTGTTCATGTGGAAAGGGTAAGGACGTTATCCTGCTGACATTAATGGTTTAAAGGGTCACATTATGCAATCACAGCTAATTCTATCTATCAAGACAAAGTTTCAGTTCATGCTTTTCTGAGCTTTTTTTTTTTTTTTTTAAGATGGGTTTTCACCGTGTTGGTCAGGCTGGTCTTGAACTCCCAACCTCCGGTGATCCACCTGCCTTGGCCTTCTAAGTGCGTGGATTACAGGCGTGAGCCAGCGCGCCCAGCCGCTTTTCTGAACTTTCTAAGTATTCAAACACAGTAGCTTTAAGCAATGCCTAATTATTAATGTACGGGAAATTAGAAATTGAAAAGTATTTTAAAAGATGCTTTTTGGTGAAATTGCACATTAAAATAAACATTTTAAATACCTTTAAATAAAAGTTGTTAAAAGGCTTTTTTTTTTAAAGTTAGATTTTGGACAGGCACAGTGGCTCATGCCTATAATCCCAGCACTTTGGGAGGCACGAGGTCAGGAGTTCCAGACCAGCCTAGCCAGCATGGCGAAACTGTGTCTCTACTAAAAATACAAAAATTAGCTGGGCATGGCGGCATGCACCTGTAGTCCCAGCTACTAGGGAGGCTGAGGCAGGAGAACTGCTTAAACCCAGGAGGTAGAGGTTGCAGAGAACCCAGACTGAGCTACTGTACTCCAGCCTTGGTGACAGAGTGATTAAAAAAAAAAAAAACAAAAAAAAACAAAACAAAACAAAACAAAAAACAAAACAAAACAAAAAAGCACAGAGGTGAAAACAATTAAAAACAACAACAAAAAATTGGGCCAGGTGCAGTGGCTCACACCTGTGATCCCAGCACTTTGGGAGGGCAAGGTGGGTAGATCACAAAGTCAGGTGTTTCAGACCAGCCTGACTAACATGGTGAAACTCCGTCTCTACTAAAAATACAAAAATTAGCCAGGTGTGGTAGCTCGAGGCTATAATCCCAGTTTCTCAGGAGGCAGAAGAATCGCTGGAACCCAGGAGAAAGAGGCTGCAGTGTGCCAACATCGTGCCACTGCACTCCAGCCTAGGCGCCAGAGCAAGACTCCATCTCAAACAAACAAAGTTGGATTTTAAATAGAAAACTTAAGACACAATGGAACAGACCTCGGAAGGCTAACTACACGAACAATATTCCAGTATTCCTATCACAGTATTAGGGAGTCGTGGATGTTTCTCATTTTTAAAGTGAGTTTTTAAAACCGGAAAGAAAACATCAAAGTCATGAGGCCTGTGAGCATCTGTACAGAACAATGCAGTTGCTGTGACGTGACAGAACTCGTTTCGGCAACTCCTCTCGTTAACCACACCTGACTCTGTCACAGGGCCCGAGCACGGCTTCAGGCTTACTACTGGAGTAAGTTCACCTCTGTGGCTACCCACGCAGTTCAAGTAATTCATTTCAAGCGAAACAAAGTGAAACCAAAATCCATTCACTCACATAACAATTTTAGAGTTGGATGGGACTAATGAGGGATTTAAAGAAGGAAGGTGTGTAGGGAGCGTATTTCTGTATCTACTTAACTCGCATACACTCCCCCAGCTTAATTCTACAGCACCTTTCAGGTACTGCCATTTAAGATAATCTTCCCAAATTACCAGGAGGGATTGAGAAAACAGCGTCGGGGGCGGGGCAGGGGAGGCCCTCGGGACTGTCTTAAAGAGACAGCACACATCCTGTTATTAAGACAGAATAAATGAGAACGAAATTCACGAGTCAATACAATCTGGAGCACCTACTGCCCGTCTGTCTGAGCTCTATAAACTGACAGAAGAGAACGGTGCTTCCCCACGTGTTCCCGGGCCTCGCATTTCGGCTTACAGGAACAGCGCTCTTTACTTCCTAAATGAACATTGCCATCTCGAGTCTGACGCCAGCTTTCCCTCATCTTGTCTGCCATGGAATTTCGTAAAATCCCAAAGATAACTTTAAAAATTATTTTAACATAAACGTGAATTCACAGTAACATGCACACACACGCAGCCCCACACCGCTGAAAGAGGAGAAAGGTTCAAGTACAAAGGTGGGGAACGCTCGCGCTGGCCTCTCCCTGTCCGGGGTGAAATCCGTGTCGGCAAGTGCTCGATTCTAGGTCACTCGCCCGGGGGCTGAGACCACTCACGTCCCTGCCACCTTCGGGGGCGCAGCCTCGTCTACATCTCACCGCCTCAACTTGCCAGGAAACTAGACAAGACCACAGCTGTCCTGAAAGCACCAGACGCCGAGCAAGCCCTCGAAGTTCCCTTCGGACACAACACCCGAGAAAAACTCAGCTCAGTGACTCCAACCCGAGAGGAGCCAGGTCCTGGGACGACATCTCCTGGTCCCCCAAGCACCTGCCACTGGGCTCTGCGACCCCACGACGCCGGGAAGGACCCGCCCGAGGGCACAGGGGGCTGGGGCTGAGAGCAGTGGGTGAGGGGCGACCCGCGGCACAACGACCCGGCAGCCCCCCTACCCCCCCAGACCCAGGGGCCGCATCTCCGCCCATCCCGCCGCTCCCACGTCCCGCCACGACCCCCTCACCGAGCAGCAGCAGCAGCAGGGGCCGCCGGGCGCTGCCGGGGGCCGCCATGGCGCGAAGCGGCCGGGGCCGGTGCGTGGGGCCGGGACGCGGAGGCGGTTCGGCCGCGGGAAAGCCGGGCGCGGGGGCGACGGCGGGGCGCGGGAGCCAAGGGCGGGCGCGGGAGACCGCGGCGTTCCCGGACGCGAGAGGCCGAGCCACCGCGACGCCGGCACGAAAGAGAGACCCCGCGGCCAGCAGCGCCTGTCACGTGAGCTGCGCCGCGCCCTGACGTCACGTGACTCCGCGGGTCTCGCGAGAGCGCGCGCGTCGGGCGGTGGCGGCTGCGCTCCCCGCAGGTGCGGCAGCTCCCAGCACCGCACCGCCTCGCGCGTGGTAGAGGCAGGCACGTGACCCGCGGCAGCATGTGACCCTGGACCCACGTGACCCGGCCTGCCCCCGCGGCCCCAGGACTACCCCGGGCCCCGAAAGGGGAAGCGTGCTGACCTCGGGGAAAAGGAAGAGGAAGCCTCGTAGCTGGAGAAAGTGGGGAGGGAGGAATCCCGCGAGGGGAGAAAGGGCAGTCGGAGCGCGGACGCCCAGGCTCCTCGTCACCCTGCCAGGCCGGAGCGGCCGCGTCCCGGCCGTGGGCGTCCTTATGGACTGGCGGGCTGCCGGGGTGGCAGCGTGGGTGACCCGCCGGGTGCGCAGTAGGGGTGGGCGAAGGGTCACCCAGGGAGACCGCTGTGCCCCAACCCCTGAGTGGTTTCAGGAAGGAAAGAAGGGATTTGCAATCAGGTCATGGAGGCTTTCCACTCGTGAATCGCAGGCTGAGGGACGAGGTCACCGGGCTGTCCCAGGTGAAGGTGAAGGTGATGGCGATGCTTTCAGGCGTATGTAAATTTCCTGTCGGGCCGGGCGCGGTGGCTCACGCCTGTATTCCTAGCACTTTGGGAGGCCGAGGTGGGTGGATCAACTGAGGTCAGGAGTTCAAGACCAGCCTGGTTATCATGGTGAAACCCCAACTTACAAAAAAAAAGAAAGAAAGCTCCTGGGCTCAATCCTTTCTATAAATGAGGTTTAGGGAAGCTTAAATTTCAATTTCAGCACCTTTCTCTCTGAGGGTGAATGCACAGTTACCGCCCTCTGACTAGCCAAGGTGGTCTTTTCCTCCTGGGAGAGGTATGTTTGGTGTTCACACTGAGTATGTCGTGGGGTGGTTGTACTGTCTGCTCTGAGTTAGGACAGTTGCACAGGGAGGGCAATGAAGGAGGCGGTTGGTCCACGGCAAAGGTCAGTCGTCTGAAGGAGGGAAGTCTGGTCTCTGGTCTCTTAGTCATTCACAGAACAAGAACACGAGGCCGAGTGGTCACCTATGAGCCTCAGCAGTCCAAGAAGCTGAATTGTCAAGCATGCTGCATGACCAGGCTACAGGGCTTAGCTTCCCCTGGGCGCAGGAAACGTAGAGGCTCCTGAAATTTTCTTCTGCGATTTCTGCCACTGGAATTGAGGTTTGGTAGCTGATACATGGGCTCAGCATTTAGGTAAAATTGACATAAGCGCACAGTCTTTTATGACAATTTTACAGGATATTTTAAATAAAAATAGAATAATATAATGAACCCCATCGTGCCTACCACTGTTGCCACTTAAAACAACTTTTAAAAGTTAGTCTCACTGTTTTGCCCACTCAGGAGTACAGTAACTCAGTCCTAGCTCACTGTAGCCTCAGCCTTCCGGGCTCAAGTGATCCTTCCACCTCAGCCTCCCAGGTAGCTCAGACCACAGGCATGCACCGTCATACCTGGCCAATTTATTTTTACTTTTAAGTAAAAGACAGCGTTTGCCATGTTGCCCAGGCTGGTCTCAAACTCCTGGGCTCAAGTGATCGTCCCACCTTGGCCTCCCAAAATGCTGGGATTATAGGTGTGAGCCACGACGTCCAGCCCAGTTATCAACATTATGGCTGAGCTCGCCTTAGGCATTGGTAGGTCACAGTTGGGATCCATGATTTCATCAAGAAGCCCTGGTTCGGGTGGGGCACAGTGGCCTGAACACTGTCATCCCAGCACTTTGGGAGTCTCAGGTGAGAGGATCCCCTGAGGACAGGAGTTTGAGACCAGCCTGGTCAATATGGTGAAACCCCGTCTCTACTAAAAATACAAAAAATTAGCTGGGCATGGTGGCGCGTGCCTGTAATTCCAGCTACTCAGGAGGCTGAGGCAGGAGAATCGCCTGAACCCGGGAGTCAGAGGTTGCGGTGAGCCGAGATCGCGCCATTGCACTCCAGCCTGGGTAACAAGAGCAAAACTCTGTCTCAAAAAAAAAAGAAGCCCTGGTTTATTGTGATGAAAGATGGTCTTTGGAGATATCACAGTCAAAATAAAAATGTAGAGATGACTCCCCAAATTTAACATTTTATTTGAGAAGAAAGCACTGCAATTCAGGTTTCAACCTCAAATAATGGGATTGAGAAAATATGATTACCTATAGCGTGTATTTGAGCACAGAGCTTGAGGACGGCCACACGGGAAGGCACTGATTGCAGACAAATGGGGTCAGCATTTCCAGGCGGAGAAGCTGAGGTTTCACTTACCAGGCAGCCACAGGAGCTCTGGCAGGACCACCACCATTTTCACAGGAGACCAGGGGCCCACGCAGCAGTGATTGGATTGGTCAGGATCACTGCATTTCAAGGAAGATTGCTTTATGACTCCATGAAGAGGGGTAGTGATCTGAGGGGGTCTTGTCTCAGGTGCCATTTGGTCTTCATTATTTACAGGAAAAAAGGTAGAAATAGCAGCTGCGTGTGGCATGACCTGGGTTGCATAGCCAAGTTCCCCTCAAGGCTCAGGATAATTGACAGCTTCAATGGCTTTACGTTTGGTTCCTTATTTCACAGGGGCATACACACAAACTGCCCGTCTTCAGTAGGTCTGAAGAACAAAGAGAAGGGTGGGGGCTTGGTAAGAAGGAGGAAGGTCTTGGTTCCCTGCTGTTGGTAAAGCTGTGGGGAGCTGGCAGAGTCTGGGGTGGGAGGTGGGCGGCAGCGGGGTGGGGAAAGGTAGTCCTCTGGGACATTCAGGGGTCTCAGCAGCCATGGATGGAACTGAATTCGAGTTACAGCAGCGGCTTTAGCTGCCAGGCTTGAAGAGAATTACGTTTTGGAGCAGTTATGCGTCCCGAGTGCTTTCTACCTCGGCTCCTTGACGGGTTAAGTTTCGTGTGGCAAGAACGACCCGGTTTCTCTGATCAACTTTCACCGAGATCACAATCTGTTTTAGCAACTGGTTTGTCAAGCTTTTAGGTCTTTTCAGTGCACAGAGCTAAGAAAGAATATTTAAGTAAATCAGGACTTTATGCTGGGATTTTCTGTTGCAATGAAAATTAGGGAGTTTTAACTTCCTTTGTATGTCTATATTTGCATCTGTTTTTTCTTTCACTGACAATTTTGACTCCTGACAACTGTCCTATAATTTGCTTTCTCCTACAATACATGAGTGACAGCTTTGCAGTGCAGCACCTGTGTTACCACCGGGACTGCCGGGTGCCTTGAGGGTCTGTCTGCAGCCCTTTTTCATCTTGTGGGCACGTCCTCCCCGGGCAGCAGCCGGTGCTCTGTGTAAAAGTCACTCAAGGCATCTTCGCTGTGCGAGCGTTCCGCACACTCTCCACAGTTAGGCTCCTTGACTTCATTTCTTTCCAAGTTTTAAGGAGGGCTTTTTGTTCCCTTTCTTCTCCCTCCCCTCCCCTCCCCTTTCCTTCCCTTCCCTTCTCTTCTTTCCTTTTTTTTAGACAGAGTCTTGCTCTGTCACCCACAATCTTGGCTCACCTCAACCTCCGCCTCCTGGGTTCAAGCGATTCTCCTGCCTCAGCCTCCTGAGTAGCTGGGATTACAGGCATCCACCACCATGCCCAGCTAATTTTGTATTTTTTACTAGAGATAGGATTTCTCCACGTTGGCCAGGCTGGTCTCCAACTCCTGACCTCAGGTGATCTGCCCACCTTGGCCTCCCAAAGTGCTGGGATTACAGGCGTGAGCCACTGTGCCCAGCCATAAAAACACTTTTTAATATTTCTTCCCTGTTTCTGCATTAAAGATGGCATATTATAAAGTGTCCTATGTCCTATGTCATTCCTTCCTATCCCAGTACAATCTTAGCAAACGACATGTGAGCTGCATGTTTCCCTCAGCTTTGCCAAAAGAATACACTGTCTGTATTTTAGATTTTGGCCAATCTGATAGGTAAGAAATTATATTCTTGTAGTTTTAATTTGCATTTCCATCATGAGTGAGGCTGAAGATCTTTTCAAATGTTTATTATTTATCTTTTTTTTGAGATGGAATTTTCACTCTTGTTGCCAAGGCTGGAGTGCAACGGCATGATCTTGGCTCACTGCAACCTCTGCCTCCCGAGTTCAAGCGATTCTCATGCCTCAGCCTCCCGAGTAGCCAGGATTACAGGTATACACCACCACAACTGGCTAATTTTGTATATTTAGCAAAGACAGGGTTCCTCCATGTTGGTCAGACAGGTCTTGAACTCACAGCCTCAGGTTATCTGCCTGCCTTGGCCTCCCAAAGTGCTGGGATTATAGGCATGAGCTACTGTGCCTGGCCCTCAAATGTTTAAGGCCTGTTTGCATTACTTTTCAAAGCAAAATTATCTGTATTTTTTGCCCATTTTTCTATTAAATGTAGGTCTTCAATTTTCTATTAAATGTAGGTCTTCATTATGTATTAGGGACATTGTGATAGAGGACACCTTTTTTTTTTTTTGACAGAATTTCACTCTTGTTGCCCAGGCTGGACTGCAATGGTGTGATCTCGGCTCACCACAACTTCTGCCTCCCAGGTTCAAGTGATTCTCCTGCCTCAGCCTCCTGAGTAGCTGGGATCACAGGCATGTGCCACCATGCCTGGCTAATTTGGTATTTTTCGTAATTTTAGTAGAGACCGGGTTTTCCATGTTGGTCAGGCTGGTCTTGAACTCCTGACCAAGGAGCCAAGATCACATCATTGCACTCCAGCCTGGGCAATAAGAGTAAAACTCAGTCTCAAAAAATAAAAAAATAATAATAAAATAAACCATGGTATATAGTACATAGTTTATTTACAACAGAACACTTCTCTGCAATAAAAGATAATTCACAACTTATTTTTTGAGATGGAGTCTTGCTCTGTCACCCACGCTGGAGTGCAGTGTTGCCATCTCAGCTCTCTGAAACTTCCGTCTCCCAGGTTCAAGTGATTTTCCTGCCTCAGCCTCCTGAGTAGCTGGGATTACAGGCACCCACTACCACGCCTGGCTAATTTTTGTATTTTTTAGTAGAGACGGAGTTTCACCATGTTGGCCAGGCTAGTCTTGAACTCCTGACCTCAGGT